ACACTAATTGTCTACAGTGGAGGGCAAGGAGTCCTCCGGGAGCTTCTGTTTCTTCCCCCAGATACCCATCCTGCAACACACTATTTCTGGAATGTTTCTATATCAAAGAAGATTCTTTGAGAAAACCCATCTTCCTGAGCTAGCAACTATTAAGAGTTTTCACTTGCTTTAGGAGAGCTTCCTCGGAAGCTTGGGAAGGAGAGAGTTTCACTGACACCTCAGGCCCCTGCCCAGCATGATTCTGCCAGCTGGGTGAACATTCAAGAGAGTTCGTTCCTACCTGGCAGGAGACCAAAGCCAGAGGGCAGAAAACAGAAAGGGAGCAGCCTGTAACTTAATCTCTGCTTCTGACCAAGCAATGGTGTTCAGGAACGGGTTACTCTGGACTGAGTTTGGGTTCATTTCTGTCCTAAGAATTTCAGTGTAGAGAAAGTAAGACTTCTGGTGCTGCCTGGGGTATGTTCTCGGGCTCTAATTCTCCCAAGCAGAAGACCAGATCAAAGATGTTTGGACACCCTGTCAGACTGTGGTCCCAGGTTTAATCAGACTTCTGAGTCTCCTTGAGACTAAGGAATGATCGACACGGAAGATGCTGAGCCAGCCATCTCTAGCAAGGGTCCCTGAGCTCTCCTCCATCTCTCAGGAGTGCTGAAAACCGTCGTGAAAGTGCTGTTCTAGGCCCACATATGTAACTATGCTGTTAACAGCTGCATAATAGACATTAAAAAATATATGAAAATCACTTTTGTTAAATGACTCTCAGTCCCTGCAGCAACGGGTATCACAGGATCCCCTACTCTAGCTCATATTTGTTATAAAAGAGAAGAAACCGACCCCAAAGGGAAGCACTGTTAACAATTCCTGTTACCAACGTGGCATGGGTATCATGCCCCTCCATCTTGCCTTCTCTTATCTGCAAGAACAGTGACTATTAGGTTATCCAAATCATCTCAGCATTTGCAAGAGTTTGAATCAGAGCTGAACTTAGTATGTGGAATTTTAACTTAGTGATTTAGGCAAAAATTCCAAGCCATTTTTTTCCTTCTGCTCTGGCCAAAACATATTTCCACAAACAGGGAAACCAGTCTCCATAGGGCCGAGTTATATAAGGCAGCTATGAGCAATCTGAGAATCTGAAAGCTGCTGGTCCCAGGGTGAATTGACCCTATGATAAATCCCACTAGTTGGTTCAGAGCAGACTTAGGGTTAACTGCATCTTAACAGGTTTTCTCAGGTATCCAGGTAGCCGCTGGAGAAATCTGGCCCATCTCTTTTGGTCACCTACCAGTGCCCAGTAAGACTCTGGTACCAGGTTCTTCCTTGTGTCTAACTTCAGTCTTTCCTAGGGCTATGTAAATTCATTTCTCCAAAGGGACTCAACTAGTTTTGAAAGTTCTGTCAGCCTAGCCCTGGGTGGCATAAGAAGTAAAGACAGGGCCTTAGGACTTCAATTTTCAAAACTCTCATTCTATAGTGAAGAAATAGGCGACGGTTCCTTATTCTGAACATTTAGGAAGCTGGGTGTCCTAGAATTTGTGGCCCCAGTTCAAGAACCCTGGCAACATGCTTCAAGCCCAGGATTGAGCCGCCAGGAAATAAGCCCCGAGTAACCTCAATATGCGCTAATGAGATTAGGGGCTTGCCCTGCACCTCCGTGTCCGGGCGTCTGTTCTGCTAGGCCAGCAGGTTTGCAGCTTAGCCAGGGGCAGCGTGGACCAAGACAATCAGGGCCCCTCCCCTACCGCTGGATAAAAAGATGGCTTCTAATGGCAGCACCATGTGGAGCAGGAATGTGTCCGTGGAATACTGTAGAAGCCCAGGGAAGAGAGGGGATGCCTTCCCAGTTCTCAGTGGACGTGAGATTGGGTGGAAAGGGGGAAATGCATTAGTCGTTAACTCCTGATGGTATTTCATCCTGTCCTCCAAAACAGAGGATGAGTGTGAACAGCAAAATTAGAGATTAGAAAATGCTGTGCTCCAAGGATGGTGAAGAGTGGGAGATTAAGACAAAAGGGACAATCCTAGCTATTTACCCAAAAGGAAATGAAAGTTTAGGTTCACAAAAGCCTAAACATGAATGTTTGTAGCAGTAATAGCCAAAAATTACCCAAATGCCCCTCCACTGGTGACTGCATAAAAGTCTACGCAGTGGAACGTTACTCAGCAACCAAAGGGAGCAACATGGATGACTCTCAAACGCATTCTTCTTCTTAGCGAGAGAAGCCAGACTCAAAGGCTACATATGATATGATTACATTTATAGAACATTCTGGAAGAGGCAAAACAAAGGGACAGAAACAGATGAGGAGTGGTCAGGGTTGGGGATGAAGCTGACTACAAAGGGGCACGAGGGAACTTTTTGGGGTGATGGAGCTGTTTTATTTCTTGATTGTGGTGGTTGTTAAACTGTATGTATTTGTCAAAATGTATAAAACTGTACTTAAAAGCATTTCTCTTTTTGTAAAATATACCTCAATAAACCTGACTTAAAAAAACACGAGCAGGGACAGAGAGGGGAGTGTGTCAGAGGGGGTTTGCGAGTCCTGGAACTGAAGACAAGACTAGGCAAGGGAGTAAGCTGGGGGCAGCATTAGCGACCAGGAGACGGCCATTGCCGTTTTATGGTTTGATGCTTTCGAGAGGATGTTGAAAAGCGCACAACTCTTGTAGGCACGAACGCCCTATGAATAGAACACAGCTTCCTTCCTGCAAGTGTCTCTCAAGAGCAGAAAGTGTCTGGGGAGTTAAGGACAAGGACCTGGAAACCACCAGGGAAGGATGAGCAAGAGTTTAAATCCAGAGACAGGTCTTGGAATGTCCTGTTTTCTAGTGACTTGAGGTCCAAAATGGTCCAGAAAGGTCACAAGCTGTCATAGCCAATGAATATGAAACTTAATCGGCTGAAACGATGATTACACTTTCTCTGCGAAGGTCAAGATGGTTTGGCTAATGGCCATAATGAACGCTAATAACGTAAGCCTCTTAAATTTCAAGCTGATATAGATGTCCCACTTTATTTGTAGCAAGGTGACATGGGGAACACTGCTGTGGCATTTAAGTGTATGAAACAAAACAGAAAGACATAGGCCAACCCAAAGTAATGTCAACACCTAAAGCATTTATTTGAATATCTTTAAACTTTTTACATATGATACATTTCCAAATTTTACAAGTTGTCCACAGATATTAAAGTTATAGCCAATTTATTAAACAGATATGATTATCCCTGATATGGAAAGCATATGTTATATAAACATTTCTACAATAAACATAAAACATGCGGAAGAAATCATAAAACTAAGATGATTCATTAGGTAGGGAAGACGACTAGCTTAACACCAGAAAACAAATAGGTGTGTATGCTGCTGTTCACGTACATTCACCTTTTCCCACGCTGCCATTCTCAGGGAATGGAATCCAGGGCTCCCCCTGCTGACTCCAGGCTTCTACGAAGTCAGGCCTGAAAGCTGGAATATTGTCATGATTGCGTGAAAATGTTTATAATCCACTTACAGCGGGAGAAACCTGATTTCACAATTTAAAATTTAAGCTTGGTGAACACACGGAGAAAAGCCAAACAAAGCTGGACTTAAAAGATAAAGGACCAGAAGTGACAAAGGTCAAAATAAACATTAATTTTGCCATCCACAAACAACAGATCTTACAAATGGAAGGCCAGAAAAACGGGGAGAGAGGTGGATTCTAATTTAAATTTTCTTCCTGTTGGTCCTCCTCTCAGCTGGGCGAGCCAGTCTCAAGCAAGAAGGGTTAAAGTCGCCCTTTCAGGAGGAGGTGTTCTTTGACAACACTCCATTGAAGAAGAATGTGGCTTCTGCATCCCACTTTTCTTGGCCTCGGGTCTGGGTCTGGACCTCAGTCCTGGCTATACTGCGGAGTGCGCACGGCTGGGTGGTGGCTGAGTGAACGGGACTTGTGGATGCAACTCGAAGACTGAGTGGGAGGGTCACCTGCACTGTTAAAACATCCAAGAGCCTCTCATTATCCATCTGTCCATCAGCCCCAGATAGAGTGGCTCAGAATTCCCTCCTCCACCACATCTGCCGTCACTCTCCACGCTCTCGGCACACACGCATCAAACGAGAGCAGCTGTGCTATGTGATAGTTATGAGCTATTTCACTAAGCGGCTATCATTCTAGGAAGGCACCTCTTAGTAAGAACAATAATGTTCAAAAAGAGTCAAAAGCCTGGGCGCAGCAGCGCCCCAGGACTGGCTGAGCGAGCCAGCAGGTCAGCAGCTATCGTCTATTCTGGGAAATGCTGGGCAGGTGGGGTGGGGAACCTCGAAACACTGAGTTCTTACTTTTTTCACTAGTGTTTGATTCTAGACGCATCCATGCACTCAATTTAGCCTCAGAAATAACAAAGATTATTACTGTCTGAAAAAGTAGGATATTCTTTAAGTTTTCAGAAAGCCCTTTAAGTGAGTTTTTTCTCTCAAAGCCAAACGTTTTGCCAAAAAAGGAAAAAAATTCAACCTTCGACAGCCCTGAAAAACCAGCCAGCACACTAAGAAGCCACTTCCTCCCACGGGCTCCTTCTGCTCAAGTGTCCACCAACCCTCTCACAGCTGATGGAGAGAAGAGAATATCACCTTCCAAATCAACTGCTTTGCTCTTAGAGGTAGGGTCCCGTCAGCACAGAGCAACACAACCCAGTTCCAGCGTTGAGAGGAACCAGGAAGTATGACCCCAACAGACCACAGAGACCTTGTTTCCTGCCCTCTGTTGAATCAGCTTCCGACTTGGAGTTCACGATAATCAATAATGTAAAATGGCTCAGACTTCTGGGAACAGTCAAGCGCAGTCAGACTTCCCCGAAGGGGCTGTGCTCCAGTCCAGGAAGGGAGGTTCCTCGCCGGATCCTGATACTCAAGGCTTTACATTTGGGGGACACGGCAAATAGGGCAAGGAAATCTGCCCATGGAAGATGATTTTCATCAGTCCCTGGAGCCAGAAACTATAAAAATAAAACTGGGGAGGAAAATTTAAATAAAGAATTTATTTCAAAATTCGGAACTTATATCCTACTCTCTTTCTTGAAAAGCCAACTGTGTTACAAAAATCCAAGTTTATGTTTTTGGTAGTGAAGATATTATAAATGCTGCCAGTCAATGCCAACCAGTGTCTGATTTGCTTCCTGTGCGTGTCCAATTTGCTCTGTGATGCTGTGCTGGTGCCAGAGCTTCTGAATCTTCTTAAATCGCTCTTTACACAAATGTAAGGGATTTCCCCGCCTAGAAAGAAGACACATGTCACTCAGGACGCATTCTATTTATTCATCTATTATACTCCAACCCTTCCTGATTTAGGAAAAGTTACAAGTTATTGGTTTTAGACTCTCTGCAAAATTTCTGTCCAGCAGGTAACTGGCTATTAACAAAACACATCAGCTCTGAAGGTTTGCCAAGAGCAGCTGAAGGGGAGTCAGTGTCTGATGAAAAGGAGAGGAAAAAGCACACATCCCACGCGCACCCAGAGTAGGTGAGGGAGCGGGGTAGGGGAGCAGGGGGTTCTGGGTTGAGAGGCTAAAACTACCCATTCGTTGTCCATTTTGTTGGTAACATGTAAAGGGCGGGGCAGAGGAGAGGGTGAGTGAATCACTGTAGGAGTCGGAATGTTCCTTGGAGTGCTCTATCAGCCACGAAGACTCAGTGAAGCAGCCCAATGCGTGTGGCTTCCAGGTCTAATTTAACCACAAGTACAAGCTTGGCTGGGTTCTCCTGGGCCCAGTTCCCTGAGCCAGACACCTGTGCCCCCAATTCAGAGTGTACCGATCTTCTCACTGTCTAACCCGGGGTCCTCACCCTAAGATTCACACCAGGAACCACCCCCAGGTGGCATGTGGACACAGCCTTGCGGTCCAGCGCCCGCGGCATCTACCTCCCCTGCCTGGGCTTCCAGGCCTTCGACTTCTGCTACTCGAGGCCAGACAGTCACATCTAGGTTAAAGCTTTTACTTCCTTTGGGCAAAGAGATGGCCTAAAAGAAGTCCTTTCATAGTGCTTGAGGGAGCTGCTGGTTAGCATTTTCCTTGCGATATAGAAGCTACCATAGAAGCTACCAGAGTAGAAGTGACTTGTCTCAAATACTGTGAAAATGCTCTTTTCTATCACCTGGAGAACGCTGGGTCCCCCCCACACAAAGCCAAGCGAGTTGGAACGGGCCACCCTTGTAGCGCTCTGATGCTGTGGAAGTCACACGGCAATTCCAACAGATCCTTGAGTGGTAACTGGAATGAAGCTGCGCTCTGTCCTACTCTTGCCCCTGACCTATCCTGATGTTCCGCATGGCACTCTGAAGGCTGGGAGAAGAATACCAAACCAAGCAGCTGGGGTCCCTTCCTTGGAAAAGAGTCCGCAGATAGCACAGCCACCTCTGCCAGAACCACCTGAGTCCCGGGGTGCTAGCAGGGCCGCCCTCGGGACCGCATGGCTCGCTGTGTTTACCACGTTCTGAAGGGCTCTGAAGGCCCAGAGTCAGCCAGCCCAGCCCCCCAGGACGGGCCCTTACCTGAGTCCCTGGTCAGTTTCCCCATAGTCATCAAGGTAAGGAGGAGAATAAAAACAGCCTTTGGTTTTGCCGGCTAAAAATAGCACTTGACATTCCCGTACTCTGCAGAGAGATCATTCGTACATTTTACATTTACGCATTAGTAATTGAGGGTTGGTTTCTCTTCCAAATGGAATGAAGTCTTATTTTTTCATTCTTTAAGAAAACTTTTCCCAGAATAAGGGAATGAAGTCTTATAAACAACCCCAGTGTTCAAAGAGAAGAAACAACATTTACAGCAAAGAGATACTAAAAAGTATCAACCCCTCTTGCCTGAGTTTCCAAAATAACTAAAATGATTGTAATCAATAATGACCATAGTGCAAATCAACATAGTGAGGGGTAGGAACACCTAGGATTAGGAATTGACAGCTCAAGTAATAGTAAAATTTAAAAAGTTGTTAAGGGTGGGAGGGGTCAAAAATTACCTATTGAGTACAATGTGTTATTATTTGGGGTGACTGGTACCCTAAAAGCCCTGCCTTCACCACTATACAATTCATCCACGTAACAAAAAAACCACTTGTACCGCCTAAATCTATTGAATCTATTGAAATAAAAAACAAAACAAGACAGAAAAGAACTGTTAAGTGTGAGAAAGACAGTTAACTTGAAAACATAAAATTGGTACTGATATTTTAACCACTATTATGAGGAAATTATTCATTTAAAAAATTGTCCACAAACATTATGAATTAGGTTAATTTGAGACACAAGGCAACACATTTTGTACAGGACCAGAAGAATTTGGAAATATGCTAGGCAAGGGAAAATGCTGCTTTCACATTTCTCCCAGCGGCTATTTAACAATGTGTCCCCTGATCCCTTTGAAAGATGTGCCTGACTTTTTCTGGTATTAGTAATTCAGCCCAATTCAACAAATATTTGTCAAGAGATGTTGACAAGAGAAACTGTCAAGGCACTGGGGAGACAGATACTAAGATGACTGAGATGTGGATACAGCCGATGCCCCAGAGGAGCTCAAACTCCTGTCACTTCTCTGCTTCAAACTCTGAAATGGCTTGCACCTCACTGAGAGAGATCACCAGGACATACCAGGCCCCACAGTGCTCTCCCTCGCACACAAAACTGCAGCGACACCAGCCTCCTTGCCCTCAACAGGCAGCACGTTCCCTCCTCAGCAATTTTGTCCTAGCTGCTCCCTGTCGAGAATTTTCTCCCCTGCTTCTTTAGGTCTTTACTCAAAAGTCATGTTTTCAGAGAGCCTTCCTTGCTCCGCTGTCTAAAATTCTCCAGCTGCCATTTCATATTCCCCTCCTTGCTTGATTTTTTTCTCCTCAGCATATATCATTATCTGAATTCTTTCTCTGTTTTTTTTTTTTTTTTTTAAAGACAGGGTCTTGCTCTGTGGCCCAGGCTACAGTGTAGTGGCGTCATCATAGCTCACTGCAACCTCAGACTCCTGGGTTCAAGTGATCCTCCTGCCTCAGCCTCCTGAGTAGCTGGGACTATAGGCCATGTGCCTCTACGCCCAGCTAATTTTTCTATTTTTTGTAGAGATGGGGTCTCAGTCTTGCTCAGGCTGGTCATGAATTTCTGACCTCAAGCTATCCTCCCACCTTGGCCTCCCAAACTGCTAGGATTACAGGTGTGAGCCACCATGCCCAGCCCACTAACTAAATTCTTACTGGTCTTGTTTATTCTCGCTCTCTCATTAGAAAACGAGCTCCATCCATGAAGGCAGAGATTTCTGTCTGCTTTGCTGACTACTGTATTCTCAATGCCTAGTGCACAGCAGTCACTAAGTACCTGTTGTACGTTGTTGAATGAACACAACTGCATATGCCAGCTTGTCATATGTGTGAATGGAGGTAAAATCCAAAAGCCACTAGGATACAACAGAGTACTGACTGAAGGTGGACAGAAAAATCAGGGACGGCTGGAAGTTTCACGTCAGAGGGAGAAATGAAGAAAGTAGAACATAACCGTCACCTGCAGTGGAGGGAGGAGGAGTGGGAATGATGATAATGGAAGAACCAAAGCAGAGTTGGCATGAGTCAAATGTGAGATGTGAGGAGACAAGGATCCTCATGTTTCTCAGATGAATAGAACGCAGGAGAACGATGGTCTCAAATTTCTCTGCAATGTAGTAATTTCTTGTGCTATCCCCCCAAAAGGCATACACCAAGGCAGAGCCAAAGCTACAAAGCCCTCTGCAGGTCCTTACCTCAGGAAGAGGCCCGCCCCAGAGCCGCAGGAGTAGGTGTGAGCTGTGCAGGCTCCTACGTCCTCCCCCTCCAGCTCAGTCTGGCAGCAGTAGCTCTGGGAGCACAGCAGAGTTCCACACACAAGGCACAGAGTTGGGGCTCTGCTTTTGTCACCACCTGATTTGGGGCACCTCCACAGGAAAAAAAAAAAA